CGACGTGGTATTGCTGCTCTTGCGGTGATTTCGTTCACATGACATGTTGCAAAACTGGTATGGTATGACATGACTGCATGGCGAACACAAGAGACCGACCCTAACATGAAAATAATGATATGCGTGTCATGTAACAACATGACTACAAGCCAGGCTTATGATGCGCTCGCGGACATTTCGTTAGCGTCACATATACGAAATTTGGTAATATGCAACGTGAATTAATGGAGAAGGTATGTGGCCGGTGCAAACATGATAATCATGAGATGCGTGTCAAGTAATAACATGAGTACATTCCAGGCTCATGATGCACTGATGGCCGTTTCGCTAGCTTCACTTATACCAAATTCGGTATAACCGGACGCCAATGGATGACAAAGGTATGATACCGATTCAAACATGATAAACATGAGATGCGTGTCATGTAGCAACATGACTACAAGCTACGCTCATGATGCGCTCGCGGTCATTTCGCTAGCTTCGCATGTACCAAACGGTATCACGCGACGCGAACGGACGACATAGGTAAACGACAAATATGAACATGATAATCACGACATGTATGTCATGTAACAACATGACTACATGCCACACTGATGATGCGCTCGCGGCCGTTTCGCTAGCTTCACATATGCCAAATTTGGTATTACGTGACGCCGATGGATGACGAAGGTATGTGACTGGTGCAGGCATGATAATCATGAGATGCGTGTCATGTAAGAACACGATACATGCCACAGTGAAGGCGCCAATACATTTCAACGTGATGTGATGCACGTGCTCGCCGGCGTTGATTTCGTCGCGCTATGCCGGTGTTGCCACGCCAGTCGCCGGTCCTGCCGTATACTCGCAGGCGCGCTGCGTCGCTTTGACGCATGCGCGTTTCAGCGCTTCCGGCGTCCCTCCGTCACGAAAAGAGGCCGACGCAGTGCTGTCTGCGTAGCGTAGTAGGTGTGAAGTGCAGCATGTCGCATTTCGCGCCTTTGGCGTCGGGCCACGCCAACGGACGCTGGTTGGCACCGGTCGCGCCTGGCGTCAGACTATAGAGTTCTTACGTTTTGCTTACATATAGCGTCGCTGTGCCCAGCGTGCGCGCGCGTCAACGTTACGTTGTAGTATAATGGGCCCTTCATGATGCGTTCACGGCCGTTTTGCTAGCTCCGCATATACCAAATTTGGTGTTACGCGACGTCAATGGATGACGAAGGTATACGACTGGTGCAAACATGATAATCATGACACGCGTGTCATGTAAGAACATGACAACATAGCACGTTCATAGAGTGCTCGCGTCCATTTTGCTAGGTTCACATATACAAAGTTCGTCATCACGTGACCTGAATAGATGACGAAGGTAAACGACACATCCAAACATGGTAATTATGACGACGTGGAAGTCGTGTACGGCATAATTGATCTCCACCTCGTAACATTGTGGTGATTTTAAAGTGACATATCAACCTTCCTCATTCGTGCTTAGCATATCATCGATTCCCACTGTACGTGGGATCTGCCAATTTTTTTTCTCTTTTTCTCTTTCTTTTTATTTATCGCTTACTCCCACTAGTTTTTTTTTGTGTTTTTATGCAGGCTTCTGCGTGCGTTACGCAAAGCGATGGCATCGTACGATGACTGCCTACGACAGCCCGAGTCATATAGAGTACACCACACTATAAATCTCGAATACAACTTAAGAAAAAAAAATAGCAGCCGATCTATGAAGTAATTGCTGATGATGAGGCGAAGCTATATGTCCTAAGGTCCATAATTTCTACGCTGAAGTCACCGACTTGTGTAAAGGACGGACGAACGGATGCACAGAAAGACAGATGAACGGAGAGGGTATGGTCTATTTTTGAACCACATGCGTGCTACCAAGGAGGTTTGAACCTCTGTGCGTGCTACGAATGCTCCATATATCGTATGTGCAACGCCTGTGTGTTGGTGCAATAGGAAGCTCCGAGCCATAGCTGCCAGTCGCTTGTAAAAGACAGTTACGCCAGCCGATTGGCCTGTAAGCCGATCAGCCTGTAATTTTTCAAGACCTTGACGTCTCCTTTTTTTTTTACAGATGAAGATGATGTTGGCGTTATTACAAGATTCCGGTATCCTTACCGTCAATAGACACTTCGTATACAAGGTGGCTAATTTTTCTAACACAATTTCTCTGACATATTTCGGGATTTGCGTTGTTAACGTATACCCTCACCAGCTGCTTCGTCTCTGCATGCCTTCTATGGCTTTCCTTACTTCCCCTGACGTTTCTGGTAGGATGTCGAGTTCCTCCGGACTATTACTGTTCTTCGCGATATCAGCCTGGTAATTTTGGCTTCCGTACAGCCCTCTGTAGAACTCCTCCGCCACTTCGACTATCCAGTCATATTGGTTATGACATTGTCTTCCTTTCCCCTCAATGCATGCATCCGATTTCTGTCTATGCACAAGTCTGCCTGCGCAGCTTTTAGGCTTCTAGAAGCCTAAAAGCTACGAAGGCAGACTTGTGCACAGACAGAAATCGGATCTTCCCCTATACGTTCCTTGGCATTATTGCCTGTTAGATCTGTCATATATATATATATATATATATATATATATATATATATATATATATATATATATATATATATATATATATATATATATATATATATATATATATATATATATATATAGGGAAAGAAGTGTATACCTAAGGGCTCGTTTTTCCGTGTTTTGACACAATATTAATGACATATAACAGATAGTAATGCCAAGGAATGTACAGGGGAAGTTCTTAGAACCAATGGAATGTAAATAAGAAAAGTGGGTGGAAAAATAACCAGCCGTGAGCAGGAATCGAACCTACAACCTTCGAATAACGCGTTCGATGCTCTAACCACTGAGCTATCACACCGGCCTTCCCTCCATCCACTTTTTTTTGGGGTTTATATGTGAACTTAGAAGTAGGAGTGTCAGTCAGCGCCATCTATAAGCCAAGTGACGAGTGTGAAACACTCTTTTTATGCGCATATGTGGCATCACGTAGCACGTGACCTTATTACGAGCGGGCAGCTGATTAATAGACCCTCGTATACAACCTAATGACACCAAGTCTCCCAGTACGAGACCCTCGTTATTGTATAAGGGAAAGAAGTGTATACTTAAGGGCTCGTTTTTTGTGTTTTACACAATATTAATGAGATATAACAGACAGTAATGCCAAGGAATGTACAAGGAAAGTTATTAGAACCAATGGAATGTAAATAAGAAAGAAAAGTGGGTGAAAAATTAACCAGCCGTGAGCAGGAATCGAACCTACGACCTTCGAATAACGCGTTCGATGCTCTAACCACTGAGCTATATATATATATATATATATATATATATATATTATGTGTGTGCAGCTGCCGCTTTTTATAGCCTGCTCAAATCTCTCTATGTTGTACTTGCTTAGGTCGGCTACCTTACGCCTATTGATTAACTTCGAAAGCTCTACTAGCTCTACATTGTCGGTTGCATTTGAAGCTTTCATGGTTTGTCGTCTCTTCATGAAATTTTTTGTCTCCTGAGATAGTTTGCCACTTTCCTGTGTTGTCATTGTACCTATGACCTCCATTGCACACTCTTTGATTGTACTAGTAAGATTATCATTCATTCCGTCAACGCTAACGTCGGTTACGTCGTTTAGAGACTTGAATCGATTCAGAAGCGAAACTCTGAATTCACAGACTCTCGATCTCACTGCTAGCTCATTAGCTGGATTATTCGCGTATCAGCGTTTCTCTTTGCTTTTTTTCAATCTATGTGAATACGAGCTCTAACAATTCCATGATTACTGCACCTGATCTTGTCAACTGCTTCTACATCCTGTGCAATGCCTGGGTGTGCACACAGAATGAGACCTATTTAATTTTTAGTTTCACCACTAGGAACTCCCCGCGTCCACTTACGGTTAGCCCATTTTCTTAAAAAGGTATTCAAAATCTGTGAAATATTATGCTCTGGGAACTCTGCTAATAATTCCCCTCTGCAATTTCTGGAGCCGATTCTATATTCCCCCACTGCATGGTCTCTGGCCTGTATTTTACCTACTTCGACATTAAAGTCGCCCATCAGAATAGTATACTGTGACTTTATTAATGGCCGACTTTTTGTCTTCACAAAAACGTTCAACCAAATGATAATCATGGCTTAATGTAGGGGCATAGACTTGTACCACCTTCATCTTGTACCTTTGTTAAACTTGATTATGATAACTTCCACCCTCTCACAGAAGCTGTAGTATTTCTCTATGTTGCCAGCGACATTCTTGAGTATAAGAAACCCCACCCCTAGTACTTTTCTGTCAACTAATCCACAGTAGCCTGAGACGTGTCCGTTCTTCAGCACCGTTTAAACCTCTCGTGTCCTCCTAGCTTCGCTGAGCCCTATTACATTCCATTTAACACTGTCTAATTCTTCGAATAGCACGAAGAGACTAGCCTCACTAGATAGCGTTCTAGCGTTGAAGGCAGCCAAATTCAGATTCCAATGGCGGCCTGTCCGGACCTAGAGATTCTTAGCGGTCACATCTTCAACGCAGCGAATTAGCCCGATTAGCCAGCATCACGACATAATATATATATATATATATATATATATATATATATATATATATATATATATATATATATATATATATATATATATATAATATATATATATATATATATATATATATATATATATATATAGAATATGAGAAGGCGGGAAGCAAACCAAATCAAGATATGAACAAGAGGGCTATAGCCTAGTAAAAGCGAGCATCACAATGAACTACACAGTGATACTATGTTACTTGTTCATGAGGTATTCAAACATTTCTGGTGAAAGGAGCGCTGCCTTTTCACATCAATATGAACAAAAACCAACGCTACCACCTATCTGCCTTTATGCGAAACATTGTAGTGTTGCATTCACCATGGCACCGAATGCAATGGCCCCAACACCTAGATCACGCAGTGAACGACGTCCCGGCTCACCTCTCGTGATGCCTGCAGGCGCCGGTTCTCCTGCTTCCACGAGAGGGCGGTGAAGTCTTCGAAGAAGCCGCCGTCCGAATCTTGGACCCTGCACGAACGAGAAGAAAGAAGACGGATACATTTGGATGAGAATGCTCAAAGCGTGTACGCATAATCACGATGAGGCAATCAGGCGCCAAACAGCACTCATTCAATCACGCACTATGCGCGCGGCATAACAGTCTCCATAAGAGAGTGGCGCGAGCCAGGTTTTCCAGAAAAAAAAAAAGAAAGTTGAGTCAGCCCTATAAAAACTGTGGTCATGTGGCAGAAATACTTCTCAAATACATACTATTTTCTTAGCGTGCAGCCTTTCAAACATACAGCACTCACGAATTCAAAGGCAACATTATTTTATTTTCAATAGAACGACTGGTATGTGCGATTTCTCAAGGTCACCAGTTCACGCCCCGACAAATCTTGTCTAATGGCAATATTCGCTTTGATATACTCGTTGTAATCAAAAATACGCCGATATGATCCGAATTTAGGATGGTGGCAACGAAACCAGTTCTCGTGTTATAGCCCTCCGGCAATTGTCTCGTTTCAATCAGTGAGTACTGTGCATTCAATTTAGTTGAAGCACCACATGGCCTCGTATTGCGATTACGCTTACTTCTTTCTTGTTTAGTGCTGTTTTTGTATTCGTCTTAGAATGTACCAACCAGGGTGGCCATTGGTGGGTACTTTGCTTCAAATTGGCTACTTTACCCCCCATATATTCAGAAACGCTTCTTGATTTTAAATCTTTACTTGCCACCGCCTCCAAGGCACCGCGTTTTGTGCTTCCTTGGCAGCGCCTAAAGCAGCGCGTTCCAAACACGTTCGTGCTGCATTCAAGGCTGTTGGCAAGTGGAGTTCAAATCGAGGAGCGAAAATTTTAGGTTGGCACCATGGCTACTTTTGTGGCTATACTGAAGTTCCTGTTAGACACATTTAATGGTCGATTGCTCTTATAATTTGCCGGTAATAGAGCAAGCAAGCCTAAAAACTGCCAACTTTTTACAATCTATTCTGTCACGTCGGCGCATTCGCGCGCATGTCCTCTTCCCAGCAGGACGATGCGCATCGAAGTACCTCCACGCAATGCACGGCACAGCACAGCCGCAAAGACTGAGCGACTAAGTCAATTAAGCTGCGAGCACGTTGATAAACACGTAGTTAGCATGTTGTTCACGCTGCCCGATGTCCAGTCTGATGTGAATTTTCTTTTAATACTGGCAGCACAGCACGTATTCCCGTACGAACTTGACAAAAATCAAGGATACACATCAAAATGAAGATGGTCCGTGCAAACCTTCAAATCAGTTTTGATTCTCAACTTCGATTGGCAGCTTTAAGGAAGAAGTGCTTCAGCTTGCATATTCCTGCTGACTTGTGACTGGAATGTTACAAAATTACTAGGTTTCTGGCAAGAGCCCCATCTTGCATAGGCTACATTACAGCAGCAACCCACGCGTAGCTTGAAGATCTAGCAAGGTAGAAAAAATATGGTCTTAATTCTATGTTTTGGCATGTTCAAAATCACGTTTGCTGTATAATTATGTCCACCTTAATCAAAATACCACTTTTGTTCTATTTCGCTACAAATTTGGTGTTAATGATAAATCACATGCATGGCTACATTGGCTCTTTTTTTGCTTGAACTCTGGTTCGTTTTCAAATCTGCTCAACGGCGACCCTGGTACTGACTACCTCACTTGAGTGCCTTGCCAGTACATATTTTTACATTTATTGACACAAATCAAATGCGTATGGGTGAGGGATGGAGAGGGGGTTGTTGACGCAGCTTCATCAGGCGCCATCTTGCTGCACGATTCACAGCTTCACTGCTCCTGAGATAAGACGATCAAGATGAGACAGCGCGCTTAACAACAAGACGGCGGCTGCAGTAACGTCAGTGCATATTCCCTATACAATCACTTAAACAGCTCCGTAAACTGGCCCAGCGTTCAGTTAGTCTAAAGAGAATTCCTTTCTTTTTGTTATCAATAAACGAAAGTGTCACAAATAATCGGCGAAGTAATCTTTCAGAGAGCCTGGCGCTTTGTAGATATAAGGTGGCCCCACGAGGCAGCAAACTAAGCCAAATCTGCAACGAAGCGCCGAGTTTATTAAGCGACCCCAATCTCCCAGATTCCTATCGAAGCAACAATATTAGCACCCGAGACCAGCAAAAAAAAAAAACACAACAAAAGAAGAGGAAAGTGGTGTGCCCGCCCTAATATATTAAATTAATGCACCCTCTGGCGGCGCTTCTGCAGGCCTTCTCGTGATTGACTCAGAACGTTATTCCGCAAAGAAAAAAGTAGCAAGGCCTTCTTCTTATTATTATTCCCGTTCGCCTTTAGGTTCACATCAAGGCAGCTTCTCCAGGCTGAGGGCGGTGCGTGTTCGCGAAACCGAAATTTCCGACCATGAAGTGCAAATTGCGTATTGAACGAGTTATATATGCGCATAATAATAGCCCCGTGCTGGCGTCCGTCTGCCGGCCTACGGTTTGCGAGTCGTGGATATGTTGTAATACCTCTTCTTCCTTTATTTCCTTTATTTTCTTTCGTTGTCTAATACGGGATTTCCTGACGTTTCCTCTGTGCGCAGTGTGAGAAAATGGCTGTAACAGACCCTGTCGATAGATAGATAGATAGATAGATAGATAGATAGATAGATAGATAGATAGATAGATAGATAGATAGATAGATAGATAGATAGATAGATAGATAGATAGATAGATAGATAGATAGATAGATAGATAGATAGATAGATAGATAGATAGATAGATAGATAGATAGATAGATAGATAGATAGATAGATAGATAGATAGATAGATAGATAGATAGATAGATAGATAGATAGATAGATAGATAGATAGATAGATAGATAGATAGATAGATAGATAGATAGATAGATAGATAGACAGACAGACAGACAGACAGACAGACAGACAGACAGACAGACAGACAGACAGACAGACAGACAGACAGACAGACAGACAGACAGACAGACAGACAGACAGACAGACAGACAGATAGATAGATAGATAGATAGATAGATAGATAGATAGATAGATAGATAGATAGATAGATAGATAGATAGATAGATATTATGCATTAGTTTTTTGTTTCTTCCTTCAAAGCTGACCTGTACATTCCTTATGCACATTGTATTTGGCCAGTCACTAGCAACTTATGACTATCAGTGCAATTTTTCTTTCTATTTTATTCCTTTTATTAAAACATAGACTTTCCTCCATTGATTGATTTTTTTTTCATTAAATAAAGACGGCGTTGTTGCCGTTTTTCAGAATGTTGCTATTCTGTGCAGTTAGGTGTTACTAGAATCTAGAGAATAACCGCGAATAGTTCGAAGGTGTTCGAGAAAGTCTTAGCTTCGCCTGAAAGGTATTGCAAAGAAACAATAGTATTAGACTGGACTGTCATACGAAGAAGTGGCTCATGCAAACACGTCTAACACATCGCTTTCGTGCGGTGTATAGTAGCTTCACCGCAAACATGGAAATGAAATGGCAACACGCACGAAGCTAATAGCCACCCCTTGAGGCCCCTTGAGGAGATAAGCACGTACACACGGGCGACCGCACAGGACCAGAGGCGCGCATCTCGACTACAAAGTAACGCTCGTTTAAGCACGAACTCTGGCCCCTATTGTACAGAGCCTAGAATATAGTATATTCTAGGCGCTATAGCTATGCGCCGTCAAGCTGGTCGTAATGAACGAGTCTCTGCCACGCTGAAATACTTCGAGATCTACGCGTATCAGCAACGGTAATTGGTTGGTTGGTTGGGACAACTTCATTCAGGTCCGGCGGGACGCACCCTAGCGCGCAGCGCGCGTCTCCCACGTCGGGATGGCCAGGCTAAGCCTGTCGGCCGCGTCCGCACCTGCTGGACAACCCGAAGCTAGTTGGCCAGGAACGGGCTGCGGTTGGCCACCTCCCACATGGCCAATATGAAATCGGGGCTTGTTCAATTTGGGGGTGTGTTCAATCAAGCGACGGTAATGGAGTATGTAAATAGCTCGCCTGTAGAGTACTGGAGGATGCAGCATGCCTTCGTGGACCAAGAGTGTCCGTAGAATCGCATTCGAAATAATAGCGCCGATTGCGAGAACATGTTGGTCATTTTGAACAGCAACTCGCTTTCCCAATAAATGCGAAGCCTTTCTTAGCGAAACGTGGCGACTTTGAGCATATCTATCTATCTATCTATCTATCTATCTATCTATCTATCTATCTATCTATCTATCTATCTATCTATCTATCTATCTATCTATCTATCTATCTATCTATCTATCTATCTATCTATCTATCTATTTGAGCATACATACCTATCTATCTATCTATCAAAATTAGCATAAGAGGATAAGATGACTTGACGAATATGACGCGCTCGTCAAAACATGAATAATGTCACAATCCCGTCGCGTACGTCGTCAAACACTTCCCCCCAGACAGCGACACATACCCCCGGCCGAGTATGTGCCGCTGGTATGCGGGTATGTGCCACAGGTGACTGACACTCAGCATCTGCCCAGGAAGGACGAGAACACATATGAGCAATTTTAACACGCGAGCGTTAAGAAATACCCGACATCGGTAGCGTCAACCCGACGAATGCAACGAATAAACGTCAGGGTCCCAGCTGGAATTGAACCCAAGCGCTCTGCGTGGCGATGAAGCATTTTACCACAGAGCTACGACAGATCTCGGAACTACTTGTCGAATAGACGCTAATCTTCGTGAAACGTCAATAGCCACTGCAGTGCTGCCTACACAATTTTATAAGCACTACATATGTACTTCTTTGATACAGCCGTCACGTCGGATTAACGTCAGTTGTGTTTAGTTGCCATGCGCTGAAGTTTATTTATGTAGCAGTGTCCAGGACCACAATTCTTGCGAGCAACTGTGCTATATATCAGATTCTCGTGTAGCTAACACGCATTTTCCAGTTGGCATCGTTGCACAGGTGCAAACAACTGGGTATATAAACATCTGCAAATCTTCAACATATGTCTGTGCGTGCAACACTTGTACATATATTTAGCGTCATTTCAGGACATTTTGCTCAAAAGAAAATTTCAAAACAGTCACCTTCCCTGCGCATGCTTCGCATAACGTCGTTTCCCAGGTACGTGGCATATGCCAAATTTTTTTGTTTGCCTGAAACCATTATGTTCATTGCGTTTGGTATCGTTTATCAGTATAACTATTTGCAGCAACTGTGTATATTGCGTAGCACTGTCCTTCTGAGATTTGTACCGAGTGGCACTCATAAGTAGCCGTGCTTTCGTGCGTACATGCTTAGATCGCTACTGCTGATGTCTGCCAGCTCATTTAATACTGCGTATATTTTAATTATTTAACCTCTCTGGAGTGTTTTGCTTGACAGTCCTCGCTCATGAAGAGCACTCCATTCACTTCAATCTAGTGGCTAATTACCACTCCGTTCGCAGAACGACAAGCACAATAATTCCATAAAGCTTCTTCACGTGTTCTAAGCTGCTAACAGAGAATAGGAAGAAGAGAAGAAGCCACATAACGCATAACGATGAATAAGGCACGCAATAAA